CGTTTGTTGAAGTTGACTGAGGAATTTGCTCAGAAAGTCACGACATGCCTGGAAGAAACTGGCCCCCGAACTGAAATTTGATAGTTAATGTGGCCCTCGGACTGAAAAGTTTGGAGACCCCTGCTCTAAACCTTGACACTTTATTTGTCCCGACCCTGACAGTTTATTTACCCGATCCCTACAACTGACCCTAACTCTCAGTTGCCCAATGTCAGGATTCTTTCTCTTACACCGAGCCCCTGAATCGGTTTTTCTCAGCCCAATTAACGTTCTCTTCAAAATTTCAGACGTTTTTTTTTTCACACGCCTGTGATAATTTGGGCACTTGCTGAAATGGGACCCGTCTTGAGGTCGCAAAAAAAAAAAAAATCTAAGTATTCTTTAACCGCTTGTACAAGAAACAGAATCCAAATTAAGTTTTACATCCGGGGCTTTAATTTGCTACATTAAAACTCAGGAAGCGTAGGCGTTGGAGCTTGATTCGATTGGAAGCGATGCTCAGTCGCTCGTGGGAGAAAACATTGATAAATTATTTAAAGTGATTGTCTTTAAGGCCATGGGAAATACGGTTTTAGCTAGGGAAGTCGGTTTTGTAAAGAGGTCAAAGCTTTTCTTGCGTTTATTCTTTATTTTTTGCTGGTAGGGATTTGGTTTTCTAAACTGAAGTTAGTTTTCTAAAGAGACTAACAAGCTCGCATTGTTTACTTTGTTAGAAGTATAATTTTAAGAAAAGTTGTGTTTTAGATGGTTAATCGTTCATTAGCCATATAATCTATAGTTATAATTTATGGAGTGATTGACAATTTTAAGCTGTAGATTTATTCTCTTTGTATGCCGAGGTCATATAAAACTTCACTTGCCCTCTGGAATATCAGGTTCGAAAGGGAACTTCAATTTTTTTTCGAATCCAATCAGGTGTGAATTTGGTATTATCTAGTATGTTAAGGTAAGTGAACTGTGTCAAGTCCTTAGTCGTCAATTACAATGTGAATGAATGTGTGGATTTTGTCTTAAGTTTTTATGTGTATATTATAAATTGAATTTTAATGAATGATACTTGTCTTGAAATGATGTTGTTTTTTTTTACTTTCTCGTTTACGAAATATAGATAAAGTAATGTAATCGTGCAAAACAAAATCGAGATTTTTGCAAATATCGACGTTTTACACCTCCCTGAGTCGGAAAAACATAATTTTGCAATCTTGTCTGTGTGTATGTGTGTCTGTGAACACGATAAGTTGAGTGCCGTTACAGCTAGGTTGATGAAATTTCATATATAAGTATTAAATGTGTAGATATGTATAAACTTTTGGGCGATTTCTGATAACCGGAAGTGGAACTTTTCAAAAGCCTATAACTTGAGTACTATTCCAGATAGATGAATGAAATTTTACATTTAAGCATAAAATATAATTATCTGCCTTCTTTCTAGTTTTGAGTAATTTCTGTTGACCGGAAGTACTAATTTTTTTTCCGAGTTCTCAAAAAACGCATGTGAATTTATAAAGCACTAATAATATTCCGCACTATTATATTTTGTTTGGCGTTCACTTGGTGTCCAATTCTTTTTTCTACGAGATTCTATTCTATTTTAATAAGTTTAAGTAATTAAAAATGGATTTAAAATATTATCTATATCACGAATTGCCATCCACCGTAGTGTTGTATAAGAATATTCGAGAAAGTTTTGGGGAGATCACTCACGGTTTATTTTTATTTTATTTATTTCCATAGCCTTTGTCCAACCAAGAACAAACTATAAGGCAGCAGTTATTTGATTTTGGAGTTGTCTCTCCTAGAAGAGTTGCTGTCCCTAACTATCGAGCCTCATTTGCCCTCGGTTTATAGTATGAAACCTATAATCTTGAATAGATGTTATTATACAATATTGCGCAATATGTGTATTGCGTTGTGATCTATTTCATATGTTCGTGTTGGCGTCAAGGGATAAATTTCTGCTACCAAATGTTGATATGTTTATTTCTGGTTTTACTCTCCCATTAGTCAGCCACTGCTCACGACCTTTTTTCCATCCACTTCGCTTTCATTTAGCCATACATCATCCAGTTCATTAAACCAAATTAAGCTCATTAGCGTTTCAGAATCCTAATGAGCAAAAATCAAGCTTCATAATTATAAATTTTCAACAGATGCATACGCATCAACAAATTAAATTAAAACAACGAAACGGGTTGTCCAATTATTTTTTAAACGGTTTCATCTATCTTCTGCAATAACATACCTTGTAATAATAGTTCCATTTTTTAAACATATGGGTAAACACTTTTTTTTATAAACCCGCATAATGTGGCAGAACTTCAAAAGATTTATTACCTATACACAAATATATAATAGAAATTGCAATGTTATTTTTATGTTGGTTCATTTTTCACCGCTAAGAATTGCAGATGCAATCAGCAACAATGCGATGTAGGTAAAACGGACGACAGACCATGAGCTGTAGAAAAGATGCAATAAATCAAATAAATTTCAAGTAAACCGAGAGACCCAGCTGGATTTCTGTGACCCTGGTCTGGCTTACCCAAAGACCAGACAGTGGCACCAATTACCAGCAACAGAAACGGCTGCATGGCTGAGTAGATACATTACATCACGTCTTTTCTCGCCGTGCAGGGAAGGGCGGGGGGGGGGGGGGGGGGGGGGGGGAAGGCGGGACGCTATGATAGGGAATTTCGGTGCTTGACTTGTGGTCAGGGAGTATGGACTCTAGGGTGCTTGACTAGCGGTCATGGAGTATGGACTCTATGTTAGGGTGGTTGACTAACGGTCAGGGAGTATAGACTATGATAGGGTGGTTGACTAGCGGTCAGTGAGTATGGACTCTATGATAGGGTGCTAGGCTAGCGGTCAGGGAGTATGGACTCTATGATAGGGTGCTTGACTAGCGGTCATGGAGTATGGACTGTATGATAGGGTGCTTGACTTGATGTCAGTGAGTATGGACTCTGTGATAGGGTGCTAGAATAGCGGTCAGGGAGTGTGGACTCTATGTTAGGGTGCTTTACTTGTGGTCAGTGAGTATGGACTCTATGATAGGGTGCTTGACTAGCGGTCAGTGAGTATGGACTCTATGATAGGGTACTAGGCTAGCGGTCAGGGACTATGGACTATGATAGGGTGCTTAACTAGCGGTCAGTGAGTATAGACGATGTTAGGGTGGTTGACTAACGGTCAGGGAGTAAGGACTCTATGATAGGGTGCTTGACTAACGGTCAAGGAGTATGGACTCTATGGTAGGGTGCTTGACTAGCGGTCAGGGAGTATGGACTCTATGATAGGGTGCTTGACTAACGGTCAAGGAGTATGGACTCTATGGTAGGGTGCTTGACTAGCGGTCAGGGAGTATAGACTCTATGTCAGGGAGTTGCTGTGCTTGACCTGAGGTCAGTAAGTACGGAATAAATGAATAAAGTGATTGACAAAGCAGTTTCAGAAAATCTAAAAAAATACATTTTAATTTTTTCATTTGTGTAAAGACCGCTTAGGAAGACATACATATAATACTTGCAAGTGAGCATAGAATTGTGCTGTTTCTTGTCCAGGCTGTTTCTTGTCCAGGCTGTTTCTTGTCCAGGCTGTTTCTTGTCCAGGCTGTTTTCAAACTTAGCAAAGCTCGTCCCAGAATGACATCAGTAAGTCCTGTGTGTTTGTCCTAACATCAGGAAGTCCTGTGTGTTTGTCCTAACATGAGGAAGTCCTGTGTGTTTGTCCTAACATCAGGAAGTCCTGTGTGTTTGTCCTAACATCAGGAAGTCCTGTGTGTTTGTCCTAACGTCAGGAAGTCCTGTGTTTTTGTCCTAACATGAGGAAGTCCTGTGTGTTTGTCCTAACATCAGGAAGTCCTGTGTGTTTGTCCTAACATCAGGAAGTCCTGTGTGTTTGTCCTAACATCAGGAAGTCCTGTGTGTTTGTCCTAACATCAGGAAGTCCTGTGTGTTTGTCCTAACATCAGGAAGTCCTGTGTGTTTGTCCTAACATCAGGAAGTCCTGTGTGTTTGTCCTAACATGAGGAAGTCCTGTGTGTTTGTCCTAACATCAGGAAGTCCTGTGTGTTTGTCCTAACATCAGGAAGTCCTGTGTGTTTGTCCTAACATCAGGAAGTCCTGTGTGTTTGTCCTAACATCAGGAAGTCCTGTGTGTTTGTCCTAACATCAGGAAGTCCTGGGTGTTTGTCCTACCTGTCTTTTAAAGCGTTACATATTTGTCTTCTAAGTCCTAATTTGTCGACAGTCTGTTTTAAAAACTGGTTTGTTTTAAATAATTATTTAGCTATGCCCAAACAAAAAGTTATTTTAGCCGGTTATATTTTGTACAAAAAAAAATGTCATTCTGATGTATTACCACAAAGCAAACGTTTATTTAGCAAATTATATTTTGTCGAAACATTTTTGTTCAAGTAAATGTTTTTCACTGTCCTTAAACAAGTTTAATTTCCTTATCCAATGGTTGAGTTTTTTTTCAACCCCGCGTTACGACAAGTTACAAAGCCATGTTTCTTGTCTGAGAAAATCCAGAGCTAGAGCCCTTTGAATGTTTTCATGACTTCATTTCATTTCCAAAGGCTTGTTTAGAACCCCCATAGCTCCCGGTTCTCTGCTGTTAAACAAATCTGAACAAATTCTACAATCTACTCCTCACTGGCAAGCTATTTCAAATGACAAAAGTTACGGAAAAAAAATTTCCATCTATTACCGCTATTGTATGGCTTCAACTTTAATGCTGCCACTACTACGTTAAGTCTTCCAATTGTCTGGAGTTTTCCACAGACCCGGGAAAAATATTCCCGAAAAGGAAAATGGGGACATTTTTTTGTTTGATCAACAGTCCCCTTCCCTGGCTTCAGATTGAGTGCCTTCGTGTTGGCTGCGGCATCTCAAGGGTTAATGTCACTTTGTTAATCTCCCTTTAGTTTTTATGGCGCGGTTCCGTTTTCTCCCTTCTCAACAGCGTAGCGAACCTACGTACTTTTTTTAAAGTACCTTTCACCCATTGCGGTTTTCCGCGTTTGTGCTTGCATTATTGATACCGCGTTGTTCGCTTCACTGCCTGCTACGTTTAATTACTTTTTCGTGCTTCTTCAACTAGAGTTTTCGCAATTATTTTTTTTTGTGTGTGTCGTTAATTAGGGCTAATATTATTTTTTCCAGTTCGGTGGTTCTGACACGGGGTTCTCTGAATATTCTAGAAGTTGTGCTGTAGTGTTGGTGTTGGCAATGAAAACGATGAGCGATCGTGGCACGAGTTATTTATCCTGTTTTTTTTTAAACACATCCCTTTGTGTTTTTGTGTTCGTAGTTGGCCTACCATCGCGCCGTGCTGGTCAAAGTAGTTTGAACAGGGAAACATTATTTCTTCACACAACACACACGCTTGTCTCGATCAACTCGATGTATATATATATATATATATATATATATATATATATATATATATATATATATATATATATATATTGTATATATGTATAAATGCGATCCCTATAGTAGGCGCCCAACATACCACGTCAGTACCAGAATATTCTCAATATTTCTACTTTTGTTCCACATTTCCATGACAGAAACATTCCCTTTCTTTTCTACGCTCCATAACGTATGCCAATCATAAAGCTGCCGGGTTTTTCAGACAGCTCAATGGTACGAATATAAACGTGGCATAACACTCTTGTTGAGTCTACTAATCCCCCCCCCCCCCCCCTCCTCCCCCCCCCCCTCGCTCGATTCCAGAAAAGTGCTACCGCCGAGATTTATCCCACCGTTTTATCTTCCCTTGTTTTTCTTCGCCTCAACCGAGGGGAGATCATCAGTTTTAATTGAATTCTTAGTCTCTATCGCCCCTTTCTTGGGAGTCACCGCACATATTTCTCATCTTCTCGTATGATTTTGTTATCATCGTTACGTCATGAGCTCAAGCATTAACATTGAACTAGTTTTATATTCCGTACATAAAACTGCCTGTTTTTTTTTGTTTATTACTAAAAGTGCCGTAGTCTTTGATTGCTACTTTGAGAAAGATTTATCACGATGTCTTTAATGGTAATGATTCCTTTACGGCCAGAATCTATTTCCCGTGTCCGAGAAATGTGGCGAGTCCCAAAAACGCTGTCTGGAACAAAATGTGTACCGGAAATAGTACCCACTGTGTGAGCACTGGCTTGAAATTCGGAAAGTCATATATTGTTTCAAGGTCATTGGTGGTGTACAATGGACAGGAGACGAAAAACTAAGTTCGGAAAGTTAACATCTGGCGTTAACTACAGATCATGTGCTTGTCGGTTTCAAAAAATGTCCCTTTGAGACTTGAATATATTTTTTTGGCTTTGTTCCTGGGGGTTGGATTTAAAAGTTTCAAATAAAGTAAAACATAACAGTTAACAAAAAATAGTTACTTGTGCAAAACGTAAGTTTATAAACTCTGACTAGAGCAACATGCCGACACACATATATATATATACATACATATACATATATAATATATATATACATACAAAAATATATATATATGTATATATAGGCCTATATACTTACATGCATATATATATATATATATATATATATATATAATATAAATTGTTGTATATATATGGTCAACATAACATATTATATATATATATATATATATATATATATATATATATATATATATATATATATATATATATATATATATATATATATATATATATATATATATATATACATATATATATATATTGCATGTATGATACATATATATCTTTTATACATATATATATATATATATATATATATATATATATATATATAATATTTAAGTGTATTTGTATATGTATATATCTATATATATAAAGAGGCTAAATATTGTATAAATAATATATATGTATATATAATATATATATATATATATATATATATATATATATATATAACAATCGTGTGTAAGTGACGAATCAGCTATTATTTACAGCTAATGAAGAGGGCTACAAGACTGAAACAAACACCCAGACAGTGCGACACGCCCACACTTAAAAGCCAGACGGGTTATAATCTAACCTCAAACAGAACCCCACCAACTTTTGACTTCATCCGGCAGCGATTCATGGCATCCATCCCGCTATGATGCCTGGAAATCTTAATGGCGCATTTTTTTTCTGACGTGAAATCAATAGAATGCATTAGTCGCCCTAGAGAAGCTTCGAAAAAGACGGCAAACACACACACACGCACACACACGCGCGCACAAACGGCAAGTGTTTTATTTCAATGTGGGGGGGGCTAGGTGTTTACTCGACCAACCGGGCTCGCTGTGCCAAATGTTTCCGGTGTCCGGCACGGTCAGGCACCCAGGGAGAGTGGAACCGGAGTCACGTGGTATAATTCGGTTAGATTGGACGTGAACTCTTGTGCTACGTTCTTTTGAGGCTCCGAGTTCGTTTACATTGATCATAGAATTATAAATCAGACATTGCGATTTGGTGTGCGATGTGCATTGTTCATGATATATATATATATATATATATATATATATATATATATATATATATATATATATCATTTACATATATATATATATATCGCATTTACATATATATATATATATATATATATATATATATATATATATATATATATATATATATATATATATATATATATCGCATTTACATATATATATATATATTTATATATATATATATATATATATATATATATATATATATATATATATATATATATATATATATATATATATATATATATATATGGATATGTTTTTTGTCTGACTATAGTGCTCCCTGTACTTTGTACAGTAATTGTTGATGGGGCGGCACTCAGCTGTAGGGAATTCCCGATATCAAATTTAGCGGTGACAGATTGAATAAAAAAATAACAGCATAGAAATGTGGTAAGGCGCTGCTAATGTGGGAGGCTTCTCTTCATACATGGGATGGCCATATGCACTCTTGTGCATACTATAGTACACACACACACACACACACACGCACACACACACTCAGAAACATACATACATACATACAAACACATTTCGTGGGCGGACTATACTTTCTAAATAAATTATATTTCTTCCGCCGCGGAGGGGGGGGGTGTGCTTCAACGTCAGCCATCCCCACCCCCACCCCCCCCACACCCCCCCACACACACACACACGAGAACAAGCGATGCATTAGAGAAACTTACATTATAAGTGCTTTGGTGGTCTTTCATCTTAAAGAAAAACGCATAATGTAAAAGTAATTAACTCGATTAAACGAATGTTTGTTTCTGCAAGTGGCAAACATTGTTGACGCCGTGTCAGTTGTTTTCGGATCTCGTTACCCTGCAAGCCCCGGCTTCATCATGAGCCTGAAGTACAGAACATGGTACTAAGAACAACAGGAAATACTTTATCGCCGGAAACAAACAGGTGAAGCGAGACAATACAGAGGAGAAACGGTCTTAATTAGAACACCAGGTAAATTAGTTACAGGTGAAAGGGTTAAAAAGTTATTTCACACGCTGCCACGTTTATATATATACACACATTTACATATATATACATATATATATATATATATATATATATATATATATATATATATATATATATATATATATATATATATATTTTTTTTTTTTTAATTTATTTATTTATATATATATATATATATATATATATATATATATATATATATATATATATATATATATATATATATATATATATATATATATATATATATATATATATATATATATATATATATATATATATATATATAAATATATATATATATGTGTGTGTGTGTGTGTGTTTCTCTGTGTGTGTTTCTCTGTGTGTCTCCGTGGATTTAGAACTCGACGTAGATAATGTAGAAGTGTAGGAGGGGGATGTGGGGGTGTAGGTGCAGGTGCAGTGCAGGTGTTAATGCCGGATACACTGCAAAACATAACAAAACTTTTTAATGTAAGCATTACCTTGCATACATATGTAATCATTGTCTAACCCACCCTCAATACTTCACAAAATATGACTAAACTACTGGTAGCATTCACTAACCTACCCTAAACTAGCCTAAACTAATGTAAGCATTGACTAACCTACACCCATTACTTCACAAAAGTATGACTAAAATACTCTTAGTATTGACTAACCTACCCCCAATAATTCACAAAGTATGATTAAACCTACCGTTACCATTGACTAAACTACCCCCATTACTTCACAAAATATGACTAAACTACTTTTTTGCATCGACTAACCTACACAAAATATGACTAAACTACTGTCAGCACTGACTAGCCTACCCCACAAAATATGACTAAACTACTGTCAGCACTGACTAATCTACCCCACAAAATATGACTAAACTACTGTCACTGACTAATCTACCCCACAAAATATGACTAAACTACTGTCAGCACTGACTAATCTACCCCACAAAATATGACTAAACTACTGTCAGCACTGACTAATCTACCCCACAAAATATGACTAAACTACGCACAGTAAACACTACCCTAACCACCCTAGCCGCCGACAGCGTTTTTCGGGGGAAAATCCGATTGGAAGAAAAACGTCAAGAACACAACAAAAGAACACAACAAGCTCGCGTGACTTAAGACAAGCATTCGGGTCAAACGGTAAAAAATTGTTGCCAGAAAAAAAAAACGGGGAAGGCCGAATCAGATGTCATCAATCCACTGGGCAAAATATTTTTTGGGACGCTGAAAATGACAAAGCCTGGAAATTAAATTTGGGGTAAAAAAATGTGCAACAAATGAAGGGCGTGATAAAAAGATTATGTGTTTAGGATGTGATAGACGGACTTTATATGCTGTACGTGGGGGTTAGGCGACGACCCCTGACCCACATGTGTAAGTGTAGTTTATTCCAAATGGTTCCTCAAAGACCCATGCGTACATTTGTAATGCTATCAAAATAACCCGTGTTGAATTGCAGAACATTTGCGATGCTATCTCAACGACCCCTGACCCACATGTGTAAGTGCAGTTTATTCCAAAATGGTTCCTCAGCGACCAATGTTGAAGTGACGTACGTTTGTAATGGTATCTAAATAATTTGTATTGAATCGCAAAACAACTGCGATGCTATCTCAATGTCACGTGACTCATGTTCACGTAGTTTGTATTTTTACTTTAATGACCCATGACCCATGATCTATGACCTATGTTTATGGGCACTCCGCAAAGCAGTTCCATGAATTGAATTGAATTTTCTAGTGACGATTTTGTTCTATTTTGTACATGATGCATGCCTCACCAAGATCTCTTTAACACGGGAACATAAATACAAAACACAAACAAACAACACTGATACATATCCCTATTTTTTTCTTTTAGTTTATATTTTAATCAATAATCTATATTCTTATTCTTTGACCCTCTTATATTTTTACACATAGTCTCACACACACAAATACACTGACAAAAATATATGCTCAGACTCACACACACATACACACACAAATACAAATCTACCCCCCCCCCCCAAAAAAAAAACTGCACATATATACACAATAAAAATACATTTGAATTCACATACGCTCATACACATAAACCCAGACACACGACACACACACACGCTAATATATACATTCTCACACACACACACATACTACCATATAATGCCAGAAGCACACACATGACTTACCAACACACACACACATTAAAACTAAAATATCAAAATGTATGCTTTGCTTCATTCTTCATATCAGAACTAGGATTTTCCTAACTAAAATTAATTTCTAAAAACCCACTGTCAAGTTTAATAAACTGTTCTAGCGTAAATTTAAATTTTGCTGACTTCATTAAAAGCAGTCATGACGTCATTATTCAACTTCTGAATCATATTTAGGGCTTCTTTTTTGAACTATTCTTTATCTTGTGTTCAGCTATATGTCATCAGGGAGATGTGAGAATGTGTTTGTTTTTTAACAGTGAGTTGTGTTGTGTTTATAGGTAAACATTGGCCAACTGTTAAAGTGGGCATTACAATAAAGTACAGTGAGTGATCTGTGTGTGATGGCGTGGTCTTGTGGTAGAGCGTTATACAGCTAAACTGAAAGTCTCGAGTTCGAATCTGGGTGCAAGTCAGTAGAACGTACCTGGGTCCACCGAGCTCTGATAGTTACCTAACTCGCGTTAGAGAAAAGTAAAGGCGGCTGGCAATACTTCTGACTACAGTATCCCTTCATAAGCCGTGATCATTTAAAACAGGTGAACTCTACTTCACTTACCCCATGGACCATCAGGTTCGAAAAGGGAGCTTTACTTTTACTTTACAGTGACTCATAGAACATCCTTTTATGAGCGAGCTTATTGAAGCCACGGTAAAAATCCACTAATAGACACATTACTGCTAACTTTTACCATGACTAATACCTTCAATTCTAACAATATGAAATATCAAAAACACTATTTTAAAAAGATTATAAATATTTGTTGCATAAGATTCGTGAAAAATAAATAAAGTTTCGGTTTTGAATTACATTCATTAATCAGCTTTCAAGACCGAATTACAGTTATATTTTTTTTCGAAAGTGAATGCCAACGACTTTTATGTTTGAAGTATTATTTTATTCTGATTATTATTTTATATTCAAAGAAATAACATGAGGTGTGTGTGTGTGTGCGTGTGTGTGTTGTAATACTGGATGTATGTGTGAATCGACGTGTGGGATGTGGGGTAATGTATGGCTTGTGTTATATGTCATTTTTTTATTACGCTGGGATAGAATCCCTTGGGGATAGGGATTTAGTGAGTTGTCTAGCCCTGTGTTGTATATTTTCTCATGTTTTGATGCGTATATAAAATATGAGCGCACGATAACTCAGAGCTTATAAGATAATTGAGGCAACAGTGCAATATGTTGAAAAGTCAACAGTAGATCTAGAAGCTACTGGACTTAGATTTATTTTATTAGTTGTTTTTTTTTTTTTTTTTTTTTACTTTTTGCTTACATAATTCTTCATGTTTTTAAATATATCAACAAATTTTACTCACTTTTTATAAAGCAATTCTATCTCTGATTCGGAATCTGTCCTTTATATATCGGTCACATCCTCTGTTTTTTTGTTGTCGAAATCCTTGCCTCCAGAGTGTAGGTCACAGATCTAATCTTACCCTAGCATCGTAAAGTACGGCTTAGCGGGGAAAATAGATAGCAAAAATGGCCAGAGGACCCAACATTTTGTCCAAAGATTCCTCGACGCTAGCCTGGGTGTTATTGGACATTGGAGAATGTTTTTCGAACTGGTATGATGGGCGTCTGACCTAGAAATGGAAAAAGTAATTTTGTGTGTGAAGTTAATTTTGCGATGAAGAGTTTGGGAAGACTTAGATCATAGATGTGGGTTTGTGCGTCATTAGAAAGTAAATAACGGAGAGTCTGTAGACTTGGAAGTCTGAAGGGATGTCAAATTTTGTTACCACGGTTTGTAAGGGAATGGCGTGGTCAGTCCAATAACCAAGGCTTATTTCTATTGCGTGAAGTAGTGAGGATAGGGGATTCAGAAATGTGACGTAAAATGTAATAATTATTTCTTAGGTGTAACATTGAGGACAGTGGTAGACGATTACTAGCTTGTATATTTGTAACTTCTGGGTTTTGGGAGGTTAGGCGTAAAATAGGATGAAATTTTGTGACTTTATATTGACTATACATACGTGTATGTTTGTATGAGTGGCTGTGTAAAATATGCATGTAATATTAACACAACCACATACATGTATATATATATATATATATATATATATATATATATATATATATATATATAAATATATATATATATATATATATATATATATATATATATGTAGGCCTATATATTAATTTATTTATATTTACATATATATATATATATATATATATATATATATATATATATTATATATGTGTGTGTGTGTGTGTATGTATATCATATATATATATAATTTATATATGATTGATATATATATATATATATATATATATATATATATATATATAATATATATATATATATAATTTATATATCAGTATATAAAAACAATTATTAACAGTTTGGGCTGAATATTTATTTACTATCTTTTTTTTTAAATCATCAACAAAATTAGGTCAGAAATATTCTTTCCGCTCGACGTAATCTGAGTGAATACTTCACCTAACTCTGTTTAATCTAATACATGTTCCCTATTCATATTCCCAATCCCCGCCCTTTAGCTCGCCTAATTAGGAGAATCTTCTAAAATAAATGTATCCCTCCAATAATGTAGATTTAATTCTCTCCACAATTTGTCCTCGAAATTCAATTACAAGAAAAATAAATTACACATGAATGTCGACCGGCTTAGCATTCTTGGGGGATAATTCTTCTAACCGGAAGCCGGCTCTGGCCTGGGAGCAGTCTATAGAATAAAGGTAGCCGGATGAATGCCTACATTCAGTGCTGAAGTTTTTTTTTGTATTTTCTCAAGGAAATGCAACGCTTCTCCGCGAACCCTCAAGAGGAGCGAATTATGAAGATGATCCGAGTAGATCATCAAAAAGTAATAACCGAGGCGCTGGCCGAGTCCTTCGTTAAAGAAGTTAGGATGAAATGAGTTGGATTTGTAAAATGTCAAAGAGAAAATTGAAACATTAGCAGTCGATTTTTTCTTTTAAATGAACATTTCTCTAGGCCCTGTTTTTTTTGTTTCTATTGCGTCAAAAAACGTGTCAAATTTATGTTCTTTGAAAGTGTCTTTTCTGTCCTTGGATTTTATAACCTCTACATTACATGTTTTTATACAAGCGTGATGTCGTTTGCCTTATTAGCTAACATATATATATGTATATATATATAAATATAAATAAATATATATATATATATATATATATATATATATATATATATATATATATATATATATATATATATATATATCCTTCGTAACGTTAAAATCTGTACTTTTATGCATGCCGCCATTCATAGTTCTTTCAATGTTCTTGACCTTTAAAGATGGTCAGCTGTACGTTACATTACTTTCCGTATCCTTTACCTTTATACATGGTCTGTTGAACGTTACATTACCTTCCATATCCTCATATCCTTGACCTTTATGAATATTTTGTTGTACATTTCATAACTTCCTGTGACCTTGGACTTTATACCTGGCCTATTCTACATTTCCTTCTTAAAGTTTAGAATATCCTTACCTTCATAAGCTGTCTCTGTATGCATTTCGTCCTTCATACATTTTCCAATATCCTTGACCTTAAGATTACCCCTGAGGCAAGTGAAAGTAAAAAGTAATTTTTCCTTTTCGAACCTGATGGTACGTAGGGCAAGTGAAGTAGAGTTCACCTGTTTCTGTGACTTCAGAAATTAAGTGATAGTATGGTCAGCGCTATTCCCAGCCGCCTATACTTTTCCTAACTTGAGTTAGGTGCCTATCATAGCTGGGTGGACTCAGGTACGTTCTACAAACTTGAACCCGGATTCGAACTCGAGTCTTTCAGGTTAGCAGTCTAGCGCTCTACTTCTAGGCCACACTGTCCAACTAAGACAAGAACTTCATCACTCTTCGTAAGCCCTTGACCTTGTTAACTTGCCATGCATGCCTGACCTTCAAGACTCCTCATGTAGTTACTCACGTCGCTTTCCCTCAATTTATTTCTCCTATTTTGATGTCGTCGCTTTTTCTCCAATGAGCTGTCAAATACGTTGTTTGTTGTTTGTTTTTTTTTGCTTCATGATGCATAAATTATTTACACCACATTTTCAAATGTCAACTGCTACCTCGTATGTTATTGTTTTTATTGAAATGTGTCTCAAGTCTCCATGACCTTCAGCAAAGTGAAGTGTATGTGAAGTCTCCATGAGCTTCAGCAAAGTGAAGTGTATGTGAAGTCTCCGTGATATTCGGCCACTGGAACTGATATTTCGCTGCGTTACAAGCGCGGAGTGGAGTTTCCCGTCGTCTTTTAAAAAAAAAAAATCTGTTAATTGGCCTGAAGTGCAGTTAACCACGGCTGCACATTGGCCTCTTTTTAAACTGCTCACATTACAGCCTCGGTTTTTTAAGCCCTCTCAGCAAGTGAGCTCCGGTAATGTGGATTTGATTGTTAGCTCAATAAAAGTAAGCTCCTGCAATGTGGATTTGAATGTTAGCTCAATAAAAGTAAGCTCCTGCAATGTGGATTTGAATGTTAGCTCAATAAAAGTAAGCTCCTGTAATGTGGATTTGATTGTTAGCTCAATAAAAGTAAGCTCCGGCAATGTGGATTTGATTGTTAGCTTAATGAAAGTGAGCTTTAGTTATGTGGTTTTGATCTTTAGCTCAATACAATTTTTTTTAAAAATAATTTGACTGCAAAGGTAGGACAAGAAAAACTGAACATACTTTACACCCCCCCCCCCCCCCCCTCCACTCACTGTAAAGACCCGCCCGCCGGGATCACGATTTAGAATGAAAATATTCAACTTCCATGCCCTCACCAGAGTTTCTTCCAGGCATCTCTTAAGCCCCCCCCCCCCCCCGAAATTTTTTTACCGCCCCCCCCCCCCCCCCGAACGAAATGAAATTTATATAATTTATATAGAAAATATATACTTTTAACAGTGTCCGCCCCCCCCCCCCCCGAAGAAAGTCTACCGCCCCCCCCCCCCCCCCGAAAATTTCAAGTGCCCCCCCCCCCCCGGCGAAAAAAGTCTGGAAGAAACACTGGCCCTCAGCCCCCCCCCCCCCCCACACACACACACGCCTTGGAATCATGGGTCAGATGACAAGTCGCTTACCCCCACCCCCAGCTCCCCCACCCCACCCTACCCCTGTATGACGATTACAAGTTAGAAATTACCTTAATTATCCCTTCTGTTCCCACCAGCTAAACGAATAACACTTTCTCCTCTTCAACCCCCTTTCCCCCATCCTATGCAGTTCACGATTTCAAGTTGCACAGGAAAACGACTCCAACCCCTCCCTCCACCCTAACCCCAGCACACACCCGACCCCCACCCATGGTGTCACAGGTTAGGCTGACAAGACTTTTACTCCCGTGTAATAATTAGCGTGGGAGAGTTATCGGAACTGCTCGGGCCGAGTGATCGGTCTTTGTAAGGCTGCCTTTTAATGGGATAATGAGGGAACTCGGAGAGATTAATGAGAGGCGATATCAAAAATTTTAAATTATGCACAACGTGGTGAGGATGGTATTTGTAAGAGTGGACAGTTAAGCCAACAATAGTGTTAGGTATTTGTTCTGATTCTTTATTTCTACCTAATGTAGCAAAGAAAATTTACGAAATATATATATATATATATATATATATATATATATATATATATATATATATATATATATCTAATATATAAAGCTCAGTTCTGTATGTAATCTGTATGTCGTTGGAAGTGTACGAATTTAAAAGTTAGAAAATTATCGTGCGCATTTGTCTAAATTTATGAGCTAAAAAATTACTATTGAAAGTGTTGGGAAATAATTTTCATTTTTCAAATTATAGTAATAATTGTCGGCATGTTCATTAAACACAAGTTTTAAAAAAAATATCATCTTTTACAAGAATTCTAATTATGTCTTTATTTAGTCCTATAGCACTTACTTCCCTTTGATAAATTAGGAAAAACACAATTACTTCCCTTTATAACTTTATAAAACCATTGCATTCCGTGAAAATAATTTACTTTTTAATTACTTTGTTTTGGTGTTGGGAAAAAAAATAATTACATAATTAGCGGGGATTAATCAAGTGCAAATGTAGGTATTTTACGGATAAGCTTGGAGTATTAAAATTGTTTATTAAATTGAAACAGGCGCGTTCGTTTAAGTGAGTGCAAAAGACTGTGAATAAGTTGGGGTACCATAGTCGTTCATTAAGCTAAAATAGGTGATTCCGCCCCGGGCGTTTATGTTCGCGTTAGTGTTTTCTTTGTGTTTAGGTGGGTTTGCGTTAGTGGTTGCGTTTTAATTTGGTTCGTTTTTGTTCTTTCTTTTTTCGTTTTTGTTTGTGTTTTTTTTGTTTGGGTTTGTATTTGTGTTTTTGGTTGGTTTTGCGTTTGGATTTGGTTTGTTTTCGTTTGCTTTTTTCGTTGATTTTTTTTTTGTTGGTATTGGTGTTTGTGGTTGGGTTTGTTGTTAGGTTTTTGTTTTCGTTTGCTTTTTTGTTTGTTTTTTATTTGTGTATGTATTGGTGTTTGTGGGTGTGGTTGTGTTTGTTGTTAAGTTTTTGTTTTCGTTTGTATTTGTAATTGTGTTAGCGTTATGTTTGCGTTTTGTTGTTTTGGTTTTGGTTGGTTGTGGTTTGGGTGGGCAATGCCGGGTTTATGATGATTACTAAACACACAGGTAATGGTCTTTAACAGAAAGGTTTTTCACAGAAGCCAGAGCAGGGCCTGGCCGGGACGGCTAGTATATATATATATCTAATATATAAAGCTCAGTTCTGTAACGTGTGGCAAAAAAAGTTTGTCGTTGACAGTTCTATGGATTTAAGTGTTAGATTTTTTATCGTGCTCATAGTCTAAATTTACGAGTAAAAAAAATTACCATTGAAAGTCTTTAAAACCAATTTTCATTCTATTTACTTGGAAGAATAATTTTCAATTATGAACACGACATAAAATTTTTAAAAAG